AATTCTGCTACTGTTATAAATCATACTATAAATATCTGATATGCAGGATAATCTGCTGTGGGACCCCAAAGGGGTTGAGATGTACAGTCTGTGAAATGCTGGCTTATAAGGAGATTAGCCTGTTGTCAGTAGTGCCTGCTTTAAATCCCAGCACTCAGGAAGCAGAGGCAGGAGGATATCTCTGAGTTCGAGGCCAGTCTCGTCTACAGAGTGAGTTCCAGGACAGACAGGACTGTTTTACAGAGAAATTCTGTCTCAATACCCACCCCCACCCCTCAATAAAGAAGGCCACAGTCTAATGGGGCAGGTGGTTACTAGGTGAGCTACTAGGTGAGCTGTGGATGTCACCTGCTTGTGCTGTCCCTGTGGACATAAGGTTCCACTGGGCTATACTAATCCCTCGAGGCCCAGTGCTGTCAGATACAAGGCTGACCATCATGAGGAAGAGAAGCACAACCTGTGGACAATTTATGCTGGGTAGTCATAGCTCTGGTCACACCACACACACACACACACACACACACACATTTTGGTTTTGTCCTCTCTGTGTGGGGACCGGCAAAGAACAGCATGGGGGAAAAGATTGACAAGACAACTTTTAAATTAACTTGCCTCCTTTTTCATTCTGGGGGGTGGAGAAAAGAAAAAAGCTTCCAAGCAAACATTGGGTTGTTCAATTAAAACAGGCTTTTATGGCTGATGCTAGACCAAGCCTGTGGTCGGGTGGAGGATGCTCATGGCTTGTTGAAGGAAAGAGCCTCATCTGCAGGGTCTTATGTGGTTCCTCCCCCTTTCTCTAAAGGGACCTGTCATGTTGGGGAACTGCCTCTTCTGTGGCCTAGAGCTGGGGATGTCCCTGTGCCTCTTCTCTTTCTCCAAGTATGGGGGCTGACATATATTCTCTTCTTGTGGCAGAACCCTGGGCAGTGCTAGCTTTGGTACCCAAGATCCAGTCAGTTGACCAGGGCCAGACCTCACCTTCTTGCTCTTGTCATTTGTTGAACGAAGACTCCCATGACCCTGGATGTCAAAAGTAAGAAGTCATGGAATTTGATAATCAGGTGTTCAGGACTCAGGCTCTGGGCCTGCAGCTCCCAGGTGTGTGATATCCCAGTCTTATTTGTCCTATCTAGAGTGGTTCAGATGGGCAGGCAAGCAGCATATATAGTTAACATGAACACTGTGGAAAGGGGCATTGTCAGCCAAGACCACGTTCTGAAACCACTGCTTCTACTTGCCTTGTGTGAGATACTGAAGATTCCATTAGCAGCAAGGCCTGGGCAACCCAGCTCCGCCTGATGGCATTTTAAAAGTTTAATGCAAACCTCAGGGCCAACCTGGTGCCTCACCCAGCTCTTGGAAACCTAAGCACTCCCAAGCCAGTAGCCAGGACCCTGGGAGGGTTAACCCAGGGCTGTGGTGCCCACCCCCACTGTCCCCTGGTGGTGGCATGCCTAGTCAGCTGTTGGGAAGGAAGCAGACCCTCTCCCCTAGCCTACACTGTGACAGAAAGGGTTTTCTTTGCTGTCTTTACTGAGCTCATGCCAGGCTGTGTTCCTGGAACCCCACATGCTCCTGCCTATGTGTCTTCTGTCAGCCTCTGTCTGCAGTCCCTCCTAGGGTTGATGCCTTGTACAAACCTCCTGGTGCTTCTGGCCTGACTGGGGATGGTGAGTCTGCCTGGGGCGGGGCTCCCTTGCAGTGCCTTCTTCCTTCCTTGGCAACTGTGTGGTGGTACATGTATGTATGTTGAGGTCCAGAACTTCTTATTAAATTGACAGAATTAAATCCTGCAAAATAATTTAATTTCTCTCTCCTTCCTTTCCTTGCTGGTAGTCATCATGCAGATACGAAGCACCATCTTTCCCAATGCTGTGCCACTGTTTAGCAAGTTCCTAGAGTTGTTGGTGGGATAGAGGCATCTCTGCCAGATTCCAGACAGGACCCACAGGCCCTGGAGTTGAGACTGGCTTGGGGATGATGGGAAGGTTGGTTTCTGCTTATTGGTGAGCTTGCCCTGTCCAATTTTGAAGTGGTTTTGTGCCTTTGCTTCCCAGAGGTGTGGTTCTAAGACCCGGGTATACCTGGAGTGCCGTGTGGCTGAAATCTGTGTTCTCATTTGAATCCTTCCTGGGAAGTGAACCCCTTCTGCTTGGGTGCTGAACTCTGCTGTGACACTGCCTGGCCCCCATGTACAGGTGTATCTGGATGCAGCTTTAGAACCTTCACCTCCATTCTAATACCCGCCTCATCAGTGTGCTTTCCACATCTACCTTTTGGCTTTGGTGTTTTCAAGGGACTGTTAGGACTCTAGCCTTACCCATCTCCTACTCTGGAGATGTCTGGGAACTCCCAAGAACCTCTGCTATGTGGGGCAAGGGTACCAAAGATAAGAATAGCAGTAGGGATTGTACTTGGCTTTGGGATGTTTTCATGGGCCTCCTAAAGTCAGGTCCATCCAGAAGGCTGTTATGAAGAGACCATTTTTCAGGGCAGATGCTGTGAGGATGGATGGGGTAAGCAAAGGCAGAGACTGCCAATTTACTACTTGACTCTAGAAATTTCCATAAGAAAATGAATATAGCAGAGCTCACCGTAAAGAGGAGCCCTGCTGGGCAAGGAGAGAAACAGAGAAATTGGGTTACAGAACTGGGAAGTTGCAGAGCACATCTGGACACTGCTATGGAGGGTTAGTTAGTGCAGAGAGCTGTGAGCAGGCCTTGCTGGAGTCAGGCTCTGTTCTTCCCACGGCTGCCCTTTGGCCCACTTAGGTGCAAGGCTCCCTCATCCCCCAGCTGCAGCCCCAGGGTCAGCCCTGGCTAGTCTTACTTTCATGGTTCTGGAGTGTAAGCCAAGCCTTTATTTGATTCTTTTCTCCTAAAGTTCAGCTTTGTTTTTGCCCCAGCCAAGGCTTCTAAGAAAGCAACCTAAAACCAGCTCCCGTCCGGCTCTCGCAGGCTGGGTGCAGGCATCACCCTTGCCAGCACAGGTGGCCTGAGGACAAGGTAGCAAATGAGCCAGTTGTCCCCAGTCCCTGGGGACCAAGTCAGCCTCATCACCTTCTGGGAGAATAATGGCCCCCTTTCTGCATGAGCTGAACTGGCTGGCTCAGATCCTGGGCACCAGCCCCTGAGGTATGGACACAAATACCTAGTAGACATCATCAATGTACGCACTAGCAGACCCAAGCTTGTGGGCTTTATAGATCCTGTTGGTTCTATGCTCAGTAACTTTCCTAGGGTCTACCCTGCCCCCTCCCCCCAGTACACAACTGATACCTGAGACTGCAGGTCATAGGCAATGGCTGATGCTAGTATGACATAGAATTTCAACTTGGCCCACAAGCCAGGGCCCACTGTTAGAAGGTGCTGGTCGCAGGACCTTTCTCTGCCCTCTGATTCTTCTTACCTGGTTACTCATCAGCTTAGCCCCAGGTATTGGGACCCTACAGGAGCTGGGTCATACTGCAGCTTTGCTGGCTTCTGTCCCCCTGGCCAGGCTTCAGGAGATCCTCTGGTTTGTTGGGGTTGCTTGTGAAGGGCGCTGTAGATCTGGGAATGGAGCCTTTTTGTCTCTTACATGCTGTGTGTCTCAGAGTGGCACAGTCCCACTCTAGCCAGACCCAGCAGTCAGTCAGTGGCCCATACAGTCTTGAGCACACCTAGTCCTGCCCAAGATGGGCTTGTGAGGCCTAATTGTTAGATTTCTGGAAGAAAGCAGCCACCAGGTAGGAAAATGGAGGGTTTGTTCTAGGTAGGGTCCAGTCCAGAGGTGCCCTGCAAAGGCCTGGGTCTTCTGGCTTCTGGAGAACAGCCCTTCAGCAGGATGGAGCACTAGTTTGTAGCCAAGTCCCAGTAAGCCTCAGGGCCACCCTGAGGGTCTTCATTACCTCCTTTAGGACAAAGGCTTGGAGGGCTTTGCAAGCTAGGCTTGCTGGCAGCTTCCACACCTGGATTTCCTCCCATCCCTGTTCAGCCACTTTTTGTCTGGAGCCCACAGTGTGTAAATAGGGAGGCGCCAGATGGCTCTTTTTTTGTTCTCTTGGTGCCTTGGAGGGTACACTGGGAATGAGGGACCATTAATGCCACCACTTCCTTCCAGCCTGTGTCACCTTGATAGTACTGCTGCTCGGTAGACATCACCATTGCCAGCCCTGACCCTGTCCAGCCGTGCAAATAGAATATATATATTTCTGGGAGCACAGTTAGGGACAGGTGAGGGAAACTGAGGTAGGCTGTCTAACAAACAGCTCTCCCTGAGGCCCTTACAAATAAGGAAATGGTTTAAACCTGGAAGGTTTGCACAAGCAGAACATGCCTGCTCCTTCCCAAAAAAAGATCTCCCAAAGGGCATGGGAGACACTGTAGACAGGCTGCACAGCTGGTCTCCAAGAAGTGACCAAAAAGCAGGTACCTTTCACCTCTGTAGGGGTCTTCCTGTCCTCAGAGTTGCTCCTTTCTTAAAGAACCAGTCAGGGATAAGAAGATGGGGTGGCATGGGGGCAGGGTTCTGGACCTACTTGTGGCCCATCAGGGAACCCAGGTACATGGCTCTGACGCCCTGAGGAGAAGTAGGGGTCCTTTCCTTTCCTGGTCTGTGCCTCTTTAGGATCCCTCTGGCATCCTCTTTCCTGTTCCCCCCTCTCTTGGATGTGCCTGAACCCCTTCCCTACCCTGGTGCTGCCATCTTTCCTTGCTCCCTAGGCCCCCTGCCCTGCCTCCTGCCCAGCCTCTTGCTACCCAGGAAGAGTTAAGCTAGATGCTCTGCCAGCTCTGCAGACTGTTTGGAATAGTTTAAATGCTTTGACACTGGGTCTGTACAGGATGGCAGAGAGGCAGTTTACTGGGTAATTCATATGCAAAACTGCACTATAAATTTCCAAGCTGTCTCAGTTGCCGTGGCACCACGAAGCATTTCTCCACGTACAGTACAGTATTTCTGCCATCTTTGTTTGCATTGCAGTGAGTCATCAAAAGTCTGTCTTGCACCAACACCCGGAGCCGTGCATTCCTCTGGCACCAACGCGCCACTGTTTTTAAAGCTGGGGCTGGGAGCTGGCATTTACTTCAGCTCCCAAATCAAAGGCGGCTATTCATTCCCAAGAGCTGCCTGGATGTTCGTCTGCATCCGGCTGCTTCATTGAGATGCTGCGCGCTGCCCGGGAGAGCCGGCCTGGGTGCAGCTGAGCTGCGGCCGCGAGCCCAGCGCCCAGCTCACTGCCACCCCCACCCCTCCTGCAGGGCTCCTCACACCCTCCCCACCTCAGGGTTCCTTGCTGCATTCCCCGAGCAGCTGGCGGGCCGGCGTGCGGGAGCCTGCTGCCAGGCTGAGCGGGCAGTGTCTGCCGCCGGCCACAGCCGCTAAAGGTAGGTCTTTCCTCTTCGGCTGGTGCCTGCCGGCCAGCCCAGCAACTTCTCTGCAGCGGGGGCACTGCGGGACGCCCCAGAGCTGCGCCCACCTGCCCAACTCCTGGCGCAGGGTGGCTCCGCCCTCCTCTCCAGCCACCCGGCGCCTCTGCGGCCGCCCCGCACTTTCCTCCGCGGGACACAGCGGCCCTTTGTGCGGCTCTGCAGAGTTGGGCCAGGGCCTGCGCCTTCTCCGGCCACCCCCACCCGCCATTGGCAGAGTCCTGTGCTGATAAACAGTGGTGGCCTGCCCCCACCCCTGCCCCCTGGCGGGTTTAGTCCTGAGACCCTTCTAGTTACCTGGGCTGGGACCAAGCCAGCAGGGATTGGCCAGTTTTAGAAGTGGGGCGGAGGGAGTGCGCACAGGCTCGAGGCTGCTCTGCGACAAGCTCTAACTCCTTTTGCATCCCTGAGGGCGCTCAGGACCTGGGTCCGGGTTTGGGGAGCTGGGAGCTGCCAGGAAGCACAGAGTGCATCCATAGCCCTCCCAAACGGCAGATAGAGGTCTGTCCCCAAGGGAGGAGTGGAGGAAGGAGTCCACAGAGTTCTCCCGGCCTTAGTCTACCTTCCTAATGCTCTTCATCCCTCCTTGTCCGTCAGAGGAAGCTTGAAGCTGAGCAAGGGATATGGGAGGGGGACAGTTGCTCTGCAGTTCCTCAGAGTGCCCTCCGCAGGCTGCTCAGCCGGCAAAGAAAAAAACAAACCTGAAACTAAAGCCCTTCCTGCTCTGGGACGTCCTTCCCAGGGTAGGCTGCACAGTGAGGGGCTTCTTGGCTCAGGGAACTTTTTCCCCTCTAGAGAAGAGTCCCTGAGATCGCTCTTGGGCTCTGTTCTTACCCCTCCCATCCTAACCAGTGGGTGACTTGTCCGTCTAGTTCACTCCTTTCTTGTTCTCTGGAGGCTTCAGGCTTCTGAACTGTGTCCTCTGCAGAGATGGGAGAACGAAACCCTACCCTCAGAATTGTTGGGAGCAGTCCATGGGTGTCATGGATGGGGTAGGTGACAGAGGGCTTCTTGACTGTAGGGGCTCGGGATCACTCTGTCCTGCTTCCAAGCCAGGATCTGGATTCTGAACATTCCACCCCTAAAGCCCCTGGTGGTGGTGGGAGGGGAGGAGGCTTCTAGCTAAGGGGAGTGCCTAAGCAGGGCACTGTCCTTTGCCTTGTCAGAGGCTGGGAGCAGTTTCTAGATGGGGTGGGGGCATCTGGCAGTTAATTGACCACAATGTCCCCTCCACAGATGTGCCTCATCCAGTCTGTCCCACATTGAGTCTGAAGCCCACCCACCACGACACCCGCCATGTCTCAGATGCTGCACATCGAGATCCCCAACTTTGGGAACACAGTGCTTGGCTGTCTGAATGAGCAGCGCCTCCTGGGCCTCTACTGTGATGTGTCCATTGTGGTCAAGGGCCAGGCCTTCAAGGCCCACCGTGCAGTCCTGGCCGCCAGCAGCCTCTATTTCCGAGACCTCTTCAGTGGTAATAGCAAGAGTGCATTCGAGCTGCCAGGCACTGTGCCGCCTGCCTGCTTCCAGCAGATTCTGTCCTTCTGCTACACAGGCAAGCTCACCATGGCGGCCAGTGAGCAGCTTGTGGTCATGTACACGGCAGGCTTCCTGCAGATCCAGCACATTGTAGAGCGGGGCACAGACCTCATGTTCAAGGTGAGCTCACCCCACTGTGACTCGCAGACCGCCATGATTGAAGATGCCAGCTCAGAGCCCCAGAGTCCCTGCAACCAGCTGCAACCGGCCACTGCTGCCTATGTCGCATCCCCTTCTGTGCCCATCCCACTTCTGACCCGTGTAAAGCATGAAGCCATGGAGATGCCACCTGCCACTGGCCCAGGCCTGGCTTCTAAGCGCCCACTGGAGACAGGCCCTCGAGATGGTGTGGCAGTAGCTACAGGTGCTGCAGGGACACCTGGCACAGCCCCTCTGAAGCTGCCTCGAGTCTCCTACTATGGTGTGCCGAGCCTGGCCACTCTGATCCCTAGCATCCAGCAGGTACCCTATCCCCAGGGGGAGCGGACCAGTCCTGGGGCCAGCAGCCTGCCCACCACTGACAGCCCAACCTCCTACCACAATGAGGAGGATGAGGAGGACGACGAAGCCTATGATACCATGGTGGAGGAGCAGTACGGCCAGATGTACATTAAGGCCACAGGAAACTATGCAGGTAACAACACATGGCAAGGCCTGGCACTATGCCATCCTTACAAACAGCCTACAGAGGGCATGTTGCATAGTGGACCTGTATGATTTCAGCCTGGTATAGAAGGTCACCATGCTTCAGGCAAGGTGTGTGGGCTAGAAGAGTTGGGCAGGAGCTCAGACTCTGCATGAGGTGATGGGCACTAGTCTGCCAGAGTTGTAGCATAGTCTGCAATGAGTTTCTGCCTGACACTAAACAAATGATGGAGCTGAAGGTCTCTGGCCTAGGAGTCTCCTTAGGATTTAATGAATCTTGCAGTGTTGTATAAGTACTTCAGAATGGGGCTCTGGCCCTCCTGGGTCTGTGTAGATAGCTTCTGTTTCCTTTTCATGGGGAAGACTGTAGCTGGTTTTCTCCTGATAGCAAGATACATGCTAACCACTGAATTGGTGAGGGTAGGCAGGCCCACTCCATGGAATCCACCAGTGTGCAGGGAATCTACTGGTGTATAGGGTCTACCACCCCTTCTGACCACTGGTTAGGAGGTCAGGGAAGGACCGAAGACCCTTTGTTCCCCGGACTTCAAGGCTTAGAGGTTTTTGTAGTGTAGGGGCTGTGACTAGGCTCCTTTCCACATCGTATTGATGGCTGACACAACTCTGCCATGGGGTCAGGGCAGAATCCATGTGGGCCTAGGGCAGAGGATGCTCACTGAACTCCGCAGAGCCAGTAAAGGATCCGATCCCTACTGATCTCTCAGGACCATTCTTGCACAGCCCCTGCCTCTCCAGGTTTACTTTGGCTGTGGCTTGTTGTGATAGTGGGAACAGAACAAAGTATATTCAGTATCCCGAGTGTTGAACCTGCTCTTTGATGCTTGGCCAGTCAGACTCCTTAACCTTGCTTGCACAGGAACAGCCCAGTTACTTCAACAGGTTTTCTGTGGAGCCAGTTGGACAGTGGCCTTGGAAGGTTTTGCAGAGCTGACATGTGTAGGGTGGGGACAAGAGGCTTGCCAGCGCTCAGCCACCCTTGGCCAGGCCAGGTGAACACTTCAGCACTCTTGGTTTATAGGTAGTCCCCAGTTTTAGTGGCTATGGGACAAGGATCTCACCAAGGCTGTTCTGTGGGGCCTTGGGAATTAGGAGAGAATCCTGCCTGACATATTTGTGGTGATGGGTGTATTAGAAGACAGACAGGCTGTGGGGCTGGCCCTGCTCTGTTGGCCCCTGTGCACAGTCTAGGTTTCCTTGTGTCTTTCTCTTCAGCAGGCCTGTAAGTGGGGCAGAGAAGGGGGTGTGCAATTTCTTGGTTAAAATCTAGGTTATTGTGGTGACGTTGCTACCCTGGGAAAGGAGCCATGGGATGAGCAGGTAGGGAAGACCTGGCCCTGACCATGGAGCTGCAGGTTCCCTGGGTCTGGCTTTGTCTGGGAATAGCCTCATGTCCACCACCTGGGGCTGGTCATCCATTGTTCCTTGCTTAGGCAACATGCTAGTCTGAGCTGCTAGACTCCAGACTCTTCTCAGGTGTTCCTACAAAGAGTCTTTTTGGCTTCAGTTCCCCAAGTAAGGGGCTGGCCAGTGCCACTCAGGGACCTGCAGTCTGCTGTCCACTGGGTGCCCTGTACTGTAATGGCTGTTTGGATCCCTTTGCTTGCTACCTTGTTCTTTAGCAGCTGTTCTCAGTGTGCCTTGCTGTGCTGCACAAAACAGCACCCTCTAAAATCAGGCATAATGATCCACCCTGTAATTCTAGCACCAGGAGGTGGAGGCAGGACATTCAGAACTTCAAGGTTATCGGGTACACAGGGAGTTTGAGGCCAGCCTGGGACACATTAGACCCTGTCTTAACCTCCTCCCTAAATAATGCGGCACCCTTGTAACCCAGCCCTGCTGTGCCATTGAGCCATTTTTGTCCCCTCCCTTTGACTCCTATTCTGATCTTAGTTGTCGGGCATTGCTTGTTAGAAAGAAGTAAGGTCACTGAGAAGCTCTGTGGTAGGACAGAGCTCTACCCTCTGAGGCTTGGCTGTCTCAGTTTACTCAGCAGGATACCCTCCTCTTCTTCCTGCCTACCCCACTTATCTCAGCCTACACAGGGTAGCCCTTCTAGTGCCCAGGACTTCTGTAGCAGGGTGGCGGGCAGGGGAGCTTGCTCCCGGCCCTGCTGTGCTGGCAATGGACGCTTGTGATATAACATGCTGGCATAGGGGGAGAGCAAGAGAGAACAGGTGGATGTCCAGTGTCACTCTGCTTGGGCTGCTCATAAGCCCTCTCTAGGAGTGAAGCACACACATTTGTATACTCTGGAGCCTCTGCTCCCCTGGCGAGAGAGATCGTCAGTTGTCTGCCCCCAGTGTGTCAGTGGCCAGTACTTCAAGAGCAGGAGTAGATGCACCCAGTCCTGCATCCCACATAGTGAAGGATACACACAGAGCCACAGCCCAAGCCACTTCCCTTCTCCTCCCTCCCCCGACCCTACCCTTCCCTGGCACAGGAAGCTTATCTGAGCTCTCAGGGCTCCGGCTGGGTCCTGTTGTCTACACACAAATAGCCTATGAGAAGCTGCCTTAGTCACATCTGCAGGCCCAGTAGGGCGGTGTGGGATCTGGCCTGGGGAGACCAAGGGCCCTGGTTGTGCTCAGTCAGATTCTATTCCCAAGGCCTTCTGTTCTTAGCTTTCAGGGGGCAAATCTGACCCCCTCAACTCCCTTAGTGGCAGACAGACTGGCTGCTGCTCCACTTTCTGGGGACCATGAGTAGTTACTGAGCTGTGGTTGGGGTCAAGGTCATGTCAACTTAAGGAGGTTCTCATGACAGGCAGGATGAGGGTGAGTAGGTAAGAGAGCATGGCAGTGACCAGGACTAGCAGGCCTCCTTGTCCTGTCCCATGGGAAACCCTGACCCAGGCTACCGATCTTCCCATGCTCTGCCTTCCCCCAACCCTTCAGTAGGCATTGATGGCAAGGCCAGCTCCTCTCTGCCCTGGAAAATGCTTAGTTGTTGCTGTCAGCTGCTGCTTTCTAGAAGTCTAAGCCTGGTGTTTATGCCATCTTCCCTCTGAGGGCACCCACTACTGGGTCCTGCCCATTCTCCTGACTGTTCTTTGAGACAGGGGAATTGTTGTCCAGCTCTGTGGGCCACCATGTGAGGGCTGCCTAAATTTAGAGGAAGTTGGGGCCACTCACAGAGCCCTCACTCACTGTCTCCACTATCCCTACTCCTTGACACGATGGATACCATTTGGGAGTTGTCCTAGCATATAGAGGCATGATTATCCTGATTCTGCCCACCAAAAGAGACCCACAAGGTGATGCTTGGTTTGAAAGGGGAACAGTAGCATGTAGAACACAGTGAGACCCGTGTGGTCATTTGGGACTTCAACAATCCCATACCTGAGCTGGCTGTTCTGCCCAGGCCTGCACAGAGCCCAAGTGATAAGGAGGGCTCTGGGTAGTCTTGCTTACAGCCTCCCAGTTTTCCTAGCATGATACAGTTTACTGAAAGACTCTCTTGCATGGCCAGCTGGCATGGTGCCGCAGCTCCCCAAGAGAAGGGAGAGGGGCTGGATTAGGGTGCCAAGTCTGCAGATGCCCCCACTGATCACACTTGGCCTGGGCAAGGACATGCAGTCCAGCTTGGCCCACAGAGACCCAACAGGGGTGCTTTTATACCTGGTTTGGACAGGGTAGATAGAGCCTAAGAAGAAAAGTCAACATAGGTAGGGGTCCTGCTGACTGCTGCAAGGGGATCTCCTTCCCATTTAAAGGGTAATACCTTGCAGTTGGGGTTAAGTGAAGGCTGTGCCGGTCCACATGACTGTCCCAACAAGATGGCTGCTCTGAGGGTCTTTGGACACATTCTGCGGTGGCCTCCTGGGTTGTCCTAGCCCTGGCCTTGGCAGAGATCTTCCCCACAGCTTCCTTGCTTAAATCCTTGAATCCAGAGATTTCCACTTTAGGCAGTTGTTTGGTTTTGTTGAGACAGGGCCTCACTATATAACCCTGGCTGGCCTATGCCTCCTTCCTCAGTCTCCCAAGTATTGGGATTATAGATATAAACTACCATGTCTACCACCTAAACCAGTTTTTATTATTTCCTTTCAAGCTTTATTTTTTTTTTTAAATTATGTGTATCTGTGTGCCTCTCTGTGTGTGTATGAACATAAAGAGGCCAGAGGCATCCAGTCACCATGGAGCTCGAGTTACAGGCAGCTGTGATTGTCCTGAAATGGGGTTTGAGTCCTGTACACACACACACACACACACACACACACACACACACACACACACACACACCTATAAGCCCATTAAGCCAGTTTTGAGGCATGTTACCTATGGTAACACATGATTTGAATTCAATGGTGGTACCACTGTTTCCCTGGAGCACAGCGCTGTCCCCTGGAATCTCAGTCCCTCTGCAGGTGTCCCTGGGTGGTATACTCTTGGTTTTCTTGGTAAGTTGTTGTTTTGCATGTGGGGGGGGGGGTCTGCGCTATGCTGGGCTCTCAATAATATGGTGTCAGTTTTTGTTTTGTGTCATCATTGCTTTTTCTGCCTCTTTTTTTAACTTTTAGATTTATCTTGCGTGTATGAGTGCTTTGCTTGAGAGTATGTTTGTATACCAGTGCATGCCTGGTATCCACAGAAGTCAGAAGGGGGTGTTGGAGGCCCTGGAAGTGAAGTTAAGGATGGTTGTGAGCTACCATGTGGGTGCTGGGAGTTGAACCCAGGTCTTCTTTGAGAGCAGCCAGTGCCCTTAACCACAGAGCCATTTCTCCAGCCCCTTGTCCATTTTTAAAAAAGGGTGTTTTGGGCTGGAGGGATAGCTCAGCCATTAAAGGCTAGGCTCACAATCATAAATAAAAAAGGGTGCTCTAATTTGTGAACAAGTTCTCTGTCAAATATATATGTATGAAAATGTTTTCTGTAGCCCAGTGTATCTTTATTATGATGTGTATTGCAAAGACAGGAGTATAAAGTTTTGTTGGAGACCCATGTTTACTTACTTTTTTGAGACCAA